GAAATCTTGAACGTAACAGACAATGCCAGCCCAATGAAAAGTTTAAAACTCAAAAAAGGAACACAAGAATAGTTGTCATAACATGGAGAAAAGCCTATCTAAAACTGGAAAAAAAGTGCCAACGTAGAGAGCATTTCAATCAAAGTGCATTACCCTGCTTTAGAGATCTATTCACAGGAAATCTATGGAGCACCTTGATGGTATTCCGGAATCAATGAGCTTCTTGAGCAACTAAGCAAACAAGGCAGGTTGAACAGCCTGCTCTTCTGTAGAACTGAACAAGCCACTTCAATCCTGGCCAGCACAGAAGAGGTCAAATTCTTAATAAAACAAGGTTCGTGTATATAGACACACACAAACACACTTGCTTGTCAACAGGCACTGTTTTTTCTCTGAAAGAAAGTGACTTTCAAACAGAATAGACCTTTGATGTTCTATAGAATCCATTGTTTCCTTAAGATTTTTTGCAAATAACGGTTCAAAATAATTATTTATCCTGTCACATTTGTTTTTCATAGGCTCCAGGGTTTTTGATGTTTTTCTTTGTTCCTAAAACTAATAATTAACCTAAGACAGATTGGTAACTTGCTATTTGCAAAGGAAATGAAAAAACACCTGCTGAAGATCTCTTAAGAACAATGGATGTCATTTAAGGAGGGGGAAACTATCTGGGACACAAGTGGTTACTTTGTCAAGCACACACCCTGCTCTATTCGCCCACAGAAGCAGGACATCAGCTTAGTGACACTGAAAAGCAGACCATACGTTTGCTTTCTCATTAAGACCAGCACACTGTCAGCACCTGCCTTCCCAGCTCTCAGAGCTGTGAACCAAATCACCTCTTGCCTACAACCTGGTTACTTTTCCTCCACCCGCAGCCCGAAGAGAACACCTGCTACCAGCTAGGAGAATCCTGCCATAAGAAAACAAGTACCATCCCAAAAAAGCTAAATGTTCTCCTATTTCCTATTTTCCACAGCAGAAGTGTCAGTCATGGGTGTAAGGGAGCACCAATCTACACAATTAGACACCATCACTTGCTTGGACTGTCTCGTGCTTAAGTGTTAAATCGTGTATCAATGTGCAGTAAGTTTCTGTACACACACTTACCTTTCGAAGCACCTGCCTCTCATTTTAACTAGCACACCTAAATGGACATATACATTTTTTCTAAAATTGAAAATATATCAAATACAAGAGAGAGTCACATGATTCTAAGCGTTCAATAAATGTTAGGCAGAATGGAAAAATGCAAGATCATCCTATAGATGGAACATCTTGCCCCCATATGAACACAGACCAGTAATCCTTGCCAGCATTCAGTGCTTCACGCCACCGCCACCCCAAGCACTGCTTTTGCAGAAACCCCTCCGCTCACTCCACAAAGGGGGCACTGACCTCCTCGCTCCGAGGTTCTTACTCCTGGCAAAGGGGATTCAAGTCCAGGAATGCTGTAATCCCTTCACGTGACCACGCAGACATGGCGAGTGAGCAGAGAGCGGTCTGTACCACCTACACTATGCACTGGAGAGGGCTTGGACAACTGTGGCTCCATGAAACAGTTTTATCAATGATTGTACACACCAGCCTTGGCCCTGGGAAGACAGTCCGGGACCAAAATGAGTTTTTATGTGAATGGGAATCCCCCCCCACCCAGGCTAAATGGCCAGCTGTGGTTCTTGAGAGCTACAGGGTTTTGAGGTTTTCATATCAAATGATTTCTAAAGCAGTTAATGGAGAAAAAAGGAATTGCTTCAGTAGCCAGAAAGAAACTACGCAGAGGGCTAAGAAATGGAAGAATTAAGGGGTGACCTCTAACTCCCCCTTGTGTGTGCAGTGCCTTGGCATCTCACTCCCCCCAAGAGCAGAAAAGGCTTTGTGCTTGAACACTTGATACTGTATGCGCCTTAGCTCATGTGCTCTATAATTTACCCAAGTCACACTGCCACAGCGAAGTCAATAAAGAATTAACTCTGCCCTTCAGCAGAGTGAAGAAAAGCAAGCCCACAAG